TAGCGAGTTCGACTTTTCAACACACTAATGTGGTTTCGTCACTCGCGTGATTGACAAATCCACCTTATCAAAAACAATAGAAACATCATTTATTGAACTTACATTGAAATCAAGTCATTTTTGTGGAAATCGAAAAATATTTCAAAGATTTCCCGTTGCCAATATTTTTGTTCTGGTTGAAAAAATTAATTTTGCAGGGATTCGACCGGATTTTGCCCGGATTTTCAATAAACAATTTTGAGTTGCATCGCCCTGATTTCGCCCGTACTTAGAGGAAACTCGGCCGGATAATCCGGACCGGATCGACATAAAAAAAAAACTGGCAGGCTTATCTTAAACTATACACATTTGATTTTCATTATATGTTTCCATTACTTCCTTTAAGTTCCATTACATATTGATAAATTTTTCATCATTTCCATTCTTTTCTTTGTGATTAACCCTAGGCAATTCCAATAGTTCATTCGATGCTGATATATCTGATGATAGTCAATTTCTTGAAAAACTTGGTGAAAATCTAGCTGCTAAGCACCAGAATAGCGTTGAAGATGCTGAGCAAATGAATAAAAGTAAAGAATTGAAATGCTCTGAGAATATGATCGAAAGCGCATCAAACGAACATAACACTGAAATCAAATCTCAAAAGAGTTATTTAGAAAAAGTTGATAACGGTGTTGCTGAAACATCAATAAACACAATTAATGATGAGGCAAGTGGCGCCTGTCACTCTGAAAGCAAATATGACGTGCAGATTGGACACAGTTATCATGACAGCCGTACAGAGAATTATAGCAATATAAATAGGACGAGTAGTGCAAGCTATTTACCTCAACAAAATTATAACTATGAAAATTATAACAGCAATGGAAACTACAATGATACAACAGGACATATGGCACAACATATAATGCAACCGAATATGAATGATTCAGAACATCCTGAAAGATATTCACAAAATGTAAGTTGATTGAATGAAAAAAAAATTACCATAAAAAAATAGCTTATCCTTTGAATTTGAATTTTAAAGAATCAGCAATCATATCGTAGAGTTCAACAACATCATCAACAACAACAACAACAGCAGCAGCAGGAACAACCACAACAGCAGCAGCAGCAACAACAACAGCAACATCAACTGCATGCTCAAATTCCAAGTCAGTCATATTCAATGCAAAATACACAGCAACAGCAAAACCAAGGTAAGATTGTGTGGGCTAGAAGAAATCAATTGAATGAATCCGACTTGTATGCAGAGTCTATAAAAGTGGAACACATATAACATATAATTGTCGTATTACAACAAATCAACTATGTAAAAAAAACTCTGTGTTCCACTTTTATACACTCTGCGTATTTGTCGGATTTTTATTCTGACCCATTCAATTGTAAAATAGTCCCGAAAAAAAGCATTTAATATATTTTTTTCGCCACAGCATTCGAGAACAAGTATTATGGACAAAATCAACCATTATATTCAACAGAAAAAATAAGTAACGGTACGCAAAAAAATGTTTCATCACTTAAACCCAATCAGTCAAATCAAAACTATGGTAATATTTGCGAACCATACAATGGAAAAATTCCCTTACATGTACAAGGAAATATTCAACAAACGCATTATCAACAACAATATTATTTACAAAATAAATATCCCAGTAAAACATCATCATCATCATCAATGCAGCAACAAACCACAAGTAATACCATACCGTCTGGCCCTATGTCGAATAGTTTCGGGCATTCATCGAATTCGGCTAACTATAATAACTATTCACATACTGTTGTAACATCATATCAACAGAATTATGAATATAATTCTCCATCCTCATCGTCAATTTCAACAATGAATTACGCTACACCATCACCAGTACAATATTCTTTCGCATCTTCAAGTCCTTCGGCTAATACCACGCAAGTACCATCGCCTGATATCCGTCAGCAAAATGTAGTTCACTCATCCTCATTGCCTTCAATTGAAACTCAACACGAATCAAACCGTGAATTTCCTTTGTCAAATCAATACAAATTAGCAACAGATAATAAAGCTTTCAATCCAACACAAAAATCTAACTATAATAGCACCGACGTAATGAGCGGACATTATACTACAAGTGATAATTGTGCATATTCAGTTGAAATGAAAAGTTCTCTAAAAAAGTATCGACATAAACAACAGACAAATAATAAAACACAACCAATCTATGGTGGTGGTTCAAATGAATTTAAAATGGAAGATCACTATGGAGCCACCTATTCTACTATGGAACCACTGGCAAGTGAATCAACATTAAGTATCTTGGAAAAAACTGCTTCGTCTATCGATGAAAGCAAAAGCGCATTCAAAGCATCATTGAGCAATATAACTAAACCGAATACAGATATGCTCACTTACGGAACGCAATCACTGTATGGAAATAGCAACGCTTCACAGGCACCTGTAAAAGCAAAAACTCGTGCAAGAGGTCGAAAGACAGGAAATAAAGCCGAAAATTTGTTGAAATCCGAACCGATTACTTCATCTCCCGTTTCATCACTTCCAATGAAAAAAAATGAAAGAATTTCAGCATCATCAACTAAGGTTGATGACGTGATTGAGTCTCACTCCAAATCAATTCCAGTTGGATGGAGTGTCGATGAAGCACATATAGCAAAAAAATTGAATCCAGCTGATAATTACTCTAGTTCAATCGGCGTGGGCTTACATTCAATTTCTTCGAATGAAAAAAATTTAACAATTCCACATACTGACGTAAACACAACATATAATCATACAGATCAAACTTATCAATATTCTGGACAAACACCAGCTCTTGGCCCAACATCACCGTTTTTATTGTCACATTCGCAGAACAAACCTGAATCATCAATGTATTCATCACATGGTACAGTATGATTTGATTCTTTTGATTATCATCATTCACATGCATACGTTAATTTTAATATAGTTCGTTGAGAATAAAAGTGGGAATAGCCGAAACCGCACTTTGGAACGCGTGCCTAAGTGAATGTATGACAAGAGATAGTAGGGAAGTGTCTTCGGAAATTTTTGAGGATTTGAAGATCCAACATATCGCTGAAGACACTTCCCTTCTATCTCTTGTCATACATTCACAAAAAGCATGTGTTTGAAAGCGCGGTTTCGGCTGTTTCCACTTTTATTCTCAACCATACATATATATGTACTATGATGGAAACAGAAATAGTGTATGCGACACAGTGGATATTTGAGTGAGAGATGAAAACCACTTGATCACACACAACTAAATGAAACAAAAATCGCGACAAAAATTGCTGAAAAATTGAGATTTTGTAGTGGTAGTAGTGGAACATGCCCAAAATTGATAGCGAGACTAGTCAGCACTTATTGTATGGCGATGGTACATTTCAATAAGTTGTGAATATAACTGTCGCTTTCATTCTCAAACATTTGAATGTTGATTGCATCACATCGAAACAACGGCACATCGACAACGACAACATAGCTGCGAAGATTACATTCGCATGAGTACATTTGTATGTTGTATTGCGTTGACAAAAACTATTTAAATATGATTTGCATTTTTCTATTGGCATTCAAAAAAAAAGTTCTAATAATCGATTTAAGCGTGACAATATGTAATTTATAGTAAAGAAGAATTCAATATTCAATTTATGGTCTCCAGAAATCAAAGGGATCTTTTTTACTGAAAAATCATAAAAAACTGCAGTCACCGTGAAAACTTGTCATTCTCATTTTCTGAACAAAATACATAATATCAGCAAGTTTGATAAAGATTCAATCAAAAAGAATTCTCATGCAAAATTATCGTTTTCTTCGATACGAACATACTATCGCCAACACAAAAAAACTTTAGACGCAAATAGTATTTGGTCAAACTGGTGCAAATTTTGCTACCTATTAAAGTAGTGGTTCCCGACTCAGTTAGACTCGCGGCCTAATTCGTGAAAAAAGACTGTTGCTACGGCTCACCAAAAATTTTAATGTACAGACTCTGCTCGCGGTCCATTTTCTAAAGCTTTGCGAACCCCCGCGGACCGCGAACCATCAGTTGGGTTAAAGGATATCTACGGTGTACTCGTCAATATTGAAACCAACTTTGTGTAGACTTTTTTCCAACTAACGAACATACAAAACAGAAGCGTAGACGATTGGAACTATAGAAAGCTCAAGAAACGACACGAAATAACATGTCAGAGAATTTTTGCCAAACGAAAAGATGAAAAAATTATCAGTTTTCTAGTTTGCCCTAAATGTATAAAGTACGTTTCTTTACATACAAACAGCATGGACTGGCAAAGTTCAATGAACTTACAAAATAAAATATCCAGAAGCGAAAACTTCTACGTAAATTATCCAAAATGTACTTAAAAAGTACTAGAAATAGTATGCCTTTTTTTCTTTCCCAGGATCGATTACACTACAAAATCTCAAACTTAGGCAATGTGGTTTGCACAAGCAATTCCTATCACTTGCTAACTCTCAATGTTATATACATATACAATAGGGTGGGTCAATTTTTTTGCATTAAGTCCATAGAACCATATGTCTAAAATGAATTTCGAGCCAGCCAATTTTTCTATCAAGATATTTTCCAAAATACTCAAAAATCGACTTAGACATTGCATTAAAAATTCAAAAAAAAAAAATATTTTTTCTTTAGCCAAATGTGTATGCGGGGGTTTTTGGGGTCGAGGAATCCATTTTTGACATTTATTTTGCCATATAACATATAAAGTAAGAAAGTCTTTGGAATAAATTCAGGCGTTTATTGCACTACACAAGCAAAATCAAAAATGTCAACAAATGCACCCAGGAGGCAAAACGGGACTCCTACTTTACTATCAAACTCAATTCGATGAAGAATTTCCATTCGCGATGACGTACAAATTGGATTTACGAAAATGGTTTTGGCGAACTAAGTTCAAAACAAATTCTGCATGTGTCCAAATTTGAACCAAAACAATAGGTTTAGACACGATCATCAGGAATCAGAAAAAAAGTAAAGAAAAAAATTCAAATAGTGGCGAATATTGGGTGTTTACTTCACCCCATAGCATGTTGCACTGAAAAATTCAACTTTTTGGACAGTGAAACATTCATCGCTATATCGAACAATGAATGAAGTACGTATGGTTTCCTTTGCATTGATAAAGTTAGGGCACTACTATATGATTGTCCGAGAATGAATGTGAGTCTTCTCGTTAGAGTTTATTGAAATGTAACCCCGCCATACAAAAATTGCTGACAGTCAGCATTTTTTGTATGGCGGTGTTACATTTCAATAAACTCTCACGAGAAGACTCACATTCATTCTCGGACATTCATATAAGGCTGAAGACGTCGACAAACCGAACTTTGATAAATGGGTGTTTGTATGGTAGGATCTTCTTTGGAAGGTGTCTTAGAGTCATTATTCGAAAATTTAGTGCTGAAACCTAAGGTTAAACCTCTATTAATTGCTTTATTATCAACCAAATATGTTTGTAATCGATGGCATTCGTTGAGGACCATCAGATTAAAGACAAAATTGTGCTTTGCAAGCAGAAAAAATCACAATAATGGCTCGTTTCTTAAAAAATAGCATTTCCATGTAAAAAGGACCATTTCTTAAACTTCACAAAAAGACACCAAATTAATTATTTCTCCTCTGTTCCTGGATGTATGTTATAGGCGAAGATCCAAAATACTTGAAACGAGCAATAATTGGTTGGATGGATTGAGAGGAAGTTGAAAGAAATCGACAAATCGGTCTGCCAAAGCATGATTATGATGGTTCGACCCATACTGAGAAAAATCGAAGACAATGATCCGTTAAGTGTACCGTAAATGTGTTTTTGGATTGACTATGAATAAAGCTAACTACCAATGAGAGAAATTTTCAAAATGCTTCTTTGATGTTTAAATAGCGTACGCTTGAATTTATTCCAAAGACTTTCTTTACATATGTTAATAACGTTTTTATGCGATTTCCAAAAAACGGGCAAAAATTGTCGTTTTCTTCTTTTTTTCCATTTTTTTTTGTTGATGTCGATTTTATAATCGATCAAAAAATTATGTTCTACAAAGTTGTTCAGAATGATGAGAGAAATTTTTTGGGTCAGCTGCCCTCCAACTCCCCCCACCCCCGGGGGGTCAGGGGACATAACCCCTTAACCCCTGATTTTTTTGACATGAAACCCAAAAATTCGACTTCAGCATGCCAAAAAACCTTTGGAAAGTGTTTTTTTCAGATGCCCTCCGAGCCAATTTTCACAAAAAGTAAGATCCCCCCATTTGGGGTCAAATACTATGAGACTATGGGGTATTTTGTGAAAATTGGCTCGGAGGGCATCTGGAAAAAAACACTTTCTAAAACACTTTCAAAAAATTTCTCTTATCATTCTGAACAACTTTGTAGAACATAATTTTCTGATCCGATGATAAAATCGAGATCAACAGAAAAAAATGGAAAAAAAAGAAGAAAACGACCATTTTGGCCAGTTTTTGTATGAAAATCGTATAAAAACGTTATGATATGGCAAAATAAATGTCAAAAATGGATTCCTCGACCCCAAAAACCCCCGCATACACATTTGGCTAGAGAAAAAATAAGGTTTTTTTGAATTTTTAATGCAATGTCCAAGTCGATTTTTGAGTATTTTGGAAAATATCTTGATTGAAAAATTGGCTGGCTCGAAATTCATTTTAGACATATGGTTCCTTGGGCAAAAATGCTTGTTAGGACCCATTGAACCAGAATCGCGATGTGGACTTGAAGGTTTTTCGGCCTCCTACAAATTAACCCACCCTATTATACACTAATATGGAATTAGGAATAATTTCACATGAATATTGATTATTTTTTGCTTACTATTCACTACTTGATTACTCGTTATTTTCATTTGTAATTCTCCGCACAGGTACAGTACATAATCCGTATCGTTCTGAATTACCTATCTCGAATTCGTCAACAATTACTACTAACAGCGGAATTCAAGATCAATCAAATAACGTTTCAATTTCATCAAGTCATCCATATTCAATACACACAGCGGTTAACAATATACAACACACGTTACAACAATCACCAATAGTGAATCCGATTTCACAGCAGACATCAACTATATTGCCAACAACATCTTCAACACCTTACATAAATACAACATTGCAACCATCAAGCTTGTTACCATCACAACAAGAACAAAATCCGAAAATATCATTACCGCATACTCCTCAAATCGAAACATTAGGTCTTTATTCACATTCACAACATTATTCTTCGCCCTATGGTAAAACACAATTACAAATAGATCAACGATTTTCATAAGGAAAATATTTTCATTATGTGTCTTTTCCAGGATATCCATCAACTTTCCACACAGGTTTGTCATCTACACTTCCAGCTTATTCAAGTCAACAAAATACGCTGTATTGTGAAACCAGTAGCAGTAGCTTTAAATTGCCTACAACAACTGTATCATCACAATCATCACATTATTCGAATTCAGCGTTCCATAAACCAGATGAAACTGCTGGTATAAGCTCACAAGAGCCACAAGCTCAGAACACCCCGTATTCAGCTCCTATATCAACGACTCAACAACAACAACAACAACAACAACAACAACAGCAGCAGCAACAACAACAGCAGCCACAACAGACGCAGCAACAGCAGCAGAAGCAACAACAACAACAACAACAGGTAGGACACTTGAGTAAAATTCTTTTAATTCTAAGTTATACTTTATCTTGTTGTAATCAACAACAGACTTCACAACCGAAAACTACAATCCCATCATCAATTCAATGTGGCTCACAAGTATATACTTCACATATAGCGTCGAATTCATTACCATTACATACATCTACGATTTCAACTGATTCACTTTCATCAATTCTACCTTCTTCACCACAAGTAAGTTCAAAAAATGTGAAGTTGAAGAAGTTTAATGAATTTTTTTTTAATGGTATTTTTAATAGCAATTTGCTGCTGCTCCATCAAATGTATCTGCGACGCAGCCACTATATTCGTTGCCACCATATCAGCACTATTACGGATCAACTCAAGCACCACCATTTCCAAGTTCACTTTATCAAACCTCAAATCCGTATACACAATCTTTCATTCCTCCCAATTTACAACCCTATGCTAGTAGTCCTCAATATTGGGGATCTCCCCCGTCAGCTCAACAGCAGCATCAGCAGGTAAATAAATGTGGACCTTATGTTTTTTTCCGCCAGTTTTTAAAAATCATGATATTTTCAGCAGACACAATATCGTACGTATCCGAATACATATCCAACATATCCGCCGCCACCGGCTTGGACTCCATAGGGATTGTTTTTTCGTTTCATTTAAATCCTACTAACATACATCATACAGTTAATCAAATGAGATAAGAATGATATAAATCAAAAATATGATAATTAGAAATATAGTTTTTATTGTTAAAGATAGATAATTTTTTCTGATGTGTTCGATCTATAGAAAGGCTTCGATAATTTTGTTTGAAATAGATTGTTTTATTTCAAACTTCATTTCGTCGCAGATCAATGAAGTACATGACACAAGACACTTAAAAATAAGTTTTTCAAGACACTTCAAATCATATACAAAAATTTAAATCATATACTGTAATGTAAAATTGTACATGCTCAAACTGTGAAGAGCGAAGCGGGCGAGTTAACTGTCGAATCACAACTCTAGAAATGTTATTGTTGTTGTACACAAGAGACAGTGTAAATATTTCACTGCTCAACGCAAAGTTCTTTCTTGAATCTTAGCAATGGACATTTTAATTGTTTGGATGTAAAATACCAACATTAAAATAGCATATACAATTTTTTGTAAAATTATTTACTTCACAATTAAAAGATTCTTGTAAAGAGTTTTACCTTAATTATTTGGACATGGCAGAAAATTATTCTGGCAATCGAAATTTTAAATGAAAACTGTGCAATGGGAAAATGTTCATTCATTTCCAATAGAGTGTTTCCCATATCTGTAATTAAATAAATAGTATGTTTCAATTTAAAGAGCATAAAATTCTGTTTTAAATCGTAGCATTAATGTAAAGCATCGATTGATATTGACACTTCCCGAAGCAAAAAACTCTTTAAAGCTAAAATTGTCTAATGTCTAAATATAGAATTAGTATTATTGATGTGAACCGAGCCTTATGACATTTGACGTTCATTTCATTGGTTTTCGAAATGTCATAAACGACGCTTATTTCGCACCAAAAATACGTTTGGCGTTGTAAATACCAAGTCAACAAATCAATCTTACATTTTATTACGATATAAACTACAGTAGTGTAAATTCCAATTCAACGTTTCAATTATTCTACGATTTTGCTGATAATTCATGTCATTTTCGATAAACGTGCGTTTTGTACCGATTTGATCCGAATATTTCAACACTTGATCCGGAGTTCAGTCAGATTGTTGAATTCAAGTCACCAGTGTGAGTAAACTTAATCATTTTATTACCGTGAAAAATATTGGTTAATTCATCAATAAAAGTTATTATTTTTAATGATAAATCAAAAATTGGAATACGTGCTTATTTCAAGCAGTTATTCCTCTCCAACTTATTGTGAAATTCATTTTTATTTCATAGCACGTAATATAAGCCATTTATAATGTGAAATATATTTAAGTACTCTAATAATTATTTAACGTTGAACATATCATTTCATGAAAAAAGTAATGAATTTCACAATTATTCTGCAGTACATAGTTCTGTTGCGTGAAGTCCGAAGATTTTTGTCATTTTTGTGTGCTGCATCATTTTGTGTGTGTACCAAAAAAGGAGATAGATTCTTGTTCTGTTGTCGCTCGAAAAAAATGAATTTAAAACATGTGTGTGCGTGTGTGTATATTTGTGCAGGAGATTTATTCATTCGTAAATTTCTATAAAAAATCTCGATATTTTTGTGTCTCAGCCAGGTATCATTAATATGAAAAATCATTTAGTAAAAAATATCGATATGGATCAATGAAAATGTCTAAATATCGCCAATTCAATAGTATTCGTTTTTAAACTAAATCGAATGTGTGTGTTTTTTCAATAGAAAAATGGCAAATCGTTACAAGCCATCTCTACCAGCTAAGGGAGAAAAGAAAGATGAGATAACGACGATCAAATGTGCACTGAAATCAATAATTCGGCCGCCATACCAGCAGGAACTGATCGGCAAAATAACAGATCTAAGTCTACAGGCTACAATGATTTGCAATTTGGGTTCGTTGCTGTTCTTATTAGAGGTGCAAAAGGCATATGAACGTAGGCATCAACAATGGTGACTTCAGCTTCTTTGCCAATAGCGGGGAAGAAAAGATCAACACATGTTTCACTCAAGTGCTAGCAAAGCACAACCCAACAAATGTAATTATTCACTATCAATATATTGATTTCAATTCAAAATTCATTTTATTTTCGCATCCATTCTAACTGATTTTTTTCTCTCTTTTCATTGATAGCAATAGTTATCAATGCAGCCAGTGAAAAAGAGAAGATAGTGCTGGATACTTGCTATGAACTAGGACTTCACCAGATTAACAAGAGCTGCAACCAAAATGGTCGTATGCTTGATTTAATCTGGACAAATGATGTTGAGCTGTTTCAATGCACAATGAGTGACTTTCATTTATTGAATTTTGAGAAGCACCACAATGCAATCGAAATCAAATATAATGAGCCTGTCATCAAAACTGTTGTAACAAAGCAAACATTTATTGATTACATAAATGCTGACTATAGACTAATAAATGAGTCACTCCTTGAAGAGATAAGGAATTCGATGCAAATTCATTAGAATTAAGACTAAACAATTTCTATACAATTGTAAAGTCAACAATCGAAACTCATGTTCAGTTAAAAACAAAAGTCATCAGGAAGCAACTAATATGGTTTAGCAAGCCACTAATCGAGTTAAAAAACAAAGTCAGCAAAGCTCATCAGATTAAAAAAAAGGTCAACACAATTGATTCAGTAGAAAATTTTAAACAATTAAGAAGAGAATATAAACGCAGTGCACGGTCAGCACTCAAGGATTACAGAATTGAGATGAAGAATCTGATAGACGATGATCCAAAGAAGTTTTTCAGACATGTGAATAACATAAAAGGGAAAAGTGATGATCTGCCGCATGAGATGTCTTATCTGGATATGAGGGCAGAAGACCAGTCTACGATCGCTGGTTTCTTTGCAAAGCACTTTGCTTCGGCCTACAGCTCTTTGGAGGGAGATCTACAATTGGATAGCTCGGAGATTGAAAATATTCGCAACATTTGTGCTGAAATATCACCGATTGAAATAACTGAGGAGCTTGTTGGACAACAAATTGACATGCTTCCGGATGATCTAGTCAGTGGTCCCGATGAAATACCAAATAAATAATAATAATAACTGCACCGAACAGCGCTACTTCGCCTTGGTGGTTTATTGAAAATAATTTAATTAAATAAATATAATATAATAGGGGAGAACCGTTAAAAGTGAGACGGGTTTTATTTTTTCATCATAAAAATTTCAAATGATAAGATATCGAAAAGATTCATATACCGTTGGATAGCTATTGACCATTGCTACAACTTTGCTGAAGAAAGTGATTAAATTGCGATTAAAATAAAAAAATATTCTAGATTTTCATGTGATTTTTGGCCAAAAAAATTTTCACCCTGTAAAGTGAGACGCACAACAAAATATAAAAAAGTGTGATAAAATTGCATGAAAATTGGGAAATGTTATAAAAACACATAATAATTTATTAAATTGATTCATTTATTAAATATTTTGATTGTTATTGAATGTTTCAAATCAATTTTTAATGAAAGAGGCCGATTAATATTACTCCATTTCCAAATCCGAGTCACAGTTTTGGCACACATACATACTTGAGCGGCCTAGATCAACACATTTCAAGTGAGCGTATCCCTTGCAGGTGCAGCATGTGATTGAATTGTGTCTGGTCAATGGGCCTTGCATCGACTTGCCGCAAGCCAAACACGGATCCTCATCAGATCCTGATGATGATGAAGAAGAGGCCTTGCGTTTTGAACGTTTTGAGGTCGACTGTTTTTGCGATGATTTCTTCGCGGCCTGTTTCTTCTTCTTTGATTTGGCTTCATCGCGCTTACGTTTTCCTTCCTTCAAAATAGAAACGGTTTCGGGCGATGTTAATATGGTGCTTTGCATAGCACGACGGCCGCGATTTGATTTTTTTCTTGGTGTAGATGGCTGCAGAGGGCCGATGGCACTAAGCACAGAAGAAAGGCTAGAGGAAAGGCTAGCGCTACGAGTGAGATTAGAAGTGGATGGTTCTTCCGATGTTTCAACCTCTACAATTTCAGCAATTGCCATATCATCATCAATGATAATTCGGTTTTTTCGATTTTAACATCTTTGATTGCATTCAACAATTGATCAAAGTCTGTGTCACCGTGGGTGGTCTTTCGTTGATAACGTGACATGGCTAAAAAAATCACCAAAATTAAAAAAAAAATCACGTTAAAGTCAATGCAAATACACGCAAACACAATTTCCCACCAAAAAATGACATTCAAATGTCAACACTGTTCCATAACATACAATTATATGGCGTCTCACTTTAGACGGTGTCGAGCGTATCACTTTAGACGGATAACGCCATTTTTGGTTGTTCTGGGATTTTTTTTTATTTCATGCTTAATGATTAAAATGAACTTTGGACATGAAAATATATTCAAAATACAACACACTGACTATATCTACCTTCAAATTTTGTTGAAAATTTCATACACTTTATTCACTCGGTAAAATCTATAAAAAAGTTTCACTTTGAATTTCAAAAATATATTTTTGGTAGAGATATAAAAAATGCGTCGATTCGCTTCGGAGTTTTGCTAAAAGTGTTGTATTGAAGCGGTAAGCATTTGACGCTACCAAAAAC